TCACAGCCCTTTCCCAGTTCATTGCTTTTTCTCCCTCCCTTCCCCTTTCCCACCTCTGGTAACCTCAGTTCTGTTCTTTTCTTTTGAAAGTTCAGTGTATTATTGTGACTGTTGTCTCTTTCTTTCTTTATTTTTTTGTTCATTTATTTATTTTTTTAGCTCCTACTTGTAAGTGAGAAAATGCAGTATTTCTTTCTCTGTGCTTGGATTATTACACATAATTTTCTCTAAGTTCATCCATNAATCAATTAGAGAAGGAAAATTTGAATACCTGCAAATATGTGGAAATTTAAAAACACCCTTCTTAATTTTTGTTGGAACATAAATAATGGCTCATTTTAAAAAATCACTGGATAATAATAATAATAATCTGTGGGATATAGCATTAAATATCAATACCAGTGTGCAATATGTGATGGTCAAATCAGGGTAATTAGTATATTCAACATTATACAATGCAATTGATTTTCACAGCCCTTTCCCAGTTCATTGCTTTCTCTCCTTCCCTTCCCCTTTCCCACCTCTGGTAACCTCAGTTCTGTTCTTTTCTTTTGAAAGTTCAGTGTATTATTATGACTTTTGTCTCTTTCTTTCTTTCTTTATTTGTTCATTTATTTATTTTTTTAGCTCCTACTTGTAAGTGAGAACATGCAGTATTTCTTTCTCTGTGCTTGGATTATTACACATAATTTTCTCTAAGTTCATCCATGTTTTTGTGAATGGCAGTATATCATTATTTTTTATGGTGGAGTAAAATTCCATTGTGTAAACACACATTTTCCTTATCAAGTCATTCAGTGATGGACATTTAGATTGGTTCTAACTCTTGTCTACTGTAAATAGAGCTGCAATAAACATGGGAATGCAGGTGTCCCTTCAATGATACTTTCCATTCCCTTGGGTATACACCCATTGGTGTGATTGCTGTATTGTATTGCAGTTCTAACTATAGTTGTTTGAGGAACCTCCATACCATTTTCCATAATGGCTGCACCAATTTACAGTCTCACCAACAGTGTAGGAGGGTTCCCTTTTCTCTACATCCTTGACAGCATTTGCTAATCTCTGGTTTTTTGATAA